TCCTTCCTTCCTTTATTCTTTCTTTCATTCTTTTGTTTTCTTCTTTTTCAGCTTTAATTGATTCGTTGTATTTTGTCCTTTTGAGGTTTGTTTGTCTTTCTTTTACGGGTAAAGCTGATCGATGTGTCGTCTTGATCCATCTTTTGTTGTATTCTTTTGTGGTAAACTATTAATATCAATCAATGTCATTTCTGTAATAAAGCTATATTTCCCGCCTGGACGCCCCAAAATGCGCATGCTTTACAATCCAAGATGCCCTCCGTATCGTTGAGGTAGTACATTGCACAATGTGTTACTACWGCAGAATGCGAAACAATTGACTCCAGTTCCCAAAAAAGTCAAAACTAAATGGCCTCTAATCAAACTGAAAAAGAAAGGGTAAATGTAATTGCCTGTGGACTCCATGACTTTTCTTCATATTTCTACTTTTGTGTATCAGATTTTGTGTTCCTTTAACTTTCGTTAAGATGACAATTGCTTTGGCCGGTTTTTCCCCAATTTAATGTTGCCTTGATCTATTTGGTGTGTTCAGTGATGGGACCTTGCGTTTACCATGACCTTGCTCATCCCTTGTCCTTAATTTTCAGTTTGCAGTTTTTTCTGTCAATAAAATCGCTACGGAAATATCCTCTGCAGCTTTGCCGTGAATTTCTTCAACATTTTCATCTTCCAAGCATTTTCTTCCCTCCGTGCTCGCATCGTATCCCGTCTCGTATCTGTAATAAACTCGAATTATCTTCAGACTCTTGTTGGTGCTAGTTCGCATATTTTTTTGTTCGGCTATTGGCATTTTACACAAGTGGGAAAAAACGTGTTCCGCCTGAACCACATTTTCCAAGAAAGCATCCAGTTCTTCTTTACATGTGTTCATGTTTATGATCTTTGGGCCTCTTAATCTTTTTCTTCTACMGTGTCTATGTGGAATTGCAAAATGTCTGTACTTGTGTGCCTCTGTTTCTGTCTCTTTATCTCGTTTTTCAAATTCCAAAATCGAATATTTTTCCAACCTTTTCCACAGGAAAAAAGAACGCTGACGTCATCCAATCATCTGTGCTCTGCATTGCCATGGAGACCAGTTAGAATACTACACAGGTGAAGAGCAGTAAGGTTTCCTTGCGTTTTTATTGATGTAAGTGTTTTAAGAAATTTGTGATAATAGTATTCGATTCTAAGATAAAAGAGATTTATATTATATTAATATTAGACTGAATACTCAGAAATRAAAAATCATCTATGTCCATCAAGATGCTGGTTCTGTTGTATGATGGCAGTATCTGAGAACCTAGAACATAGGCACAAGAGCAAAATAATGTTCATAATACTATGGACGTTATTCTTGACAGAAACGACTGGGAGGTTGAACACTAGCCTATATGTATGTCACACCAGAAACAGAGGCTTTACACCATCGCGTGCCCACGTCTATACAGCTTGGGCTGCCTGTGGTATTTACATGGCTGAACAATAAAATGCCCCTTGTATCGTTCCTGCTATCTAATATGGCTGCCGTCACATGATGTGCAAAGCCGTSTATTGCCGTTGCGTATGCATCCTTTTTTTTAAAATTTATTTTAATGTTTCTCCTCCTTTTATTTAAAAGGAATTATTCATTTCTTCTTAGCTTTCTTTTATTTTACCGTTGCCGTGTTTTTGCGAACATGGGATGAGGCTGACCCTAAGTAAATGAGTCAGTTTTTTCAAGGGTCTATATCCTTGACACACTGGCAAACATGGTTCTGAGCCAAAAATGGAATCGAAAAATTGATTGAGAATTCATTTGAGAAATACGTATTTCATCACGTAATCATATTTTGACCCTTCCATTTAGGTCACTAACGAATGACCCTCACAGCAGTTCTAATCTTTTTTGGCATCTCTGCTTAAAATCTGCAATTGAGATTGCAATTGATATAATATCTGTCTTCGTTAGTCAAGTTCTTTAAGAAGATTATTATTAATTTCTTTATTTTTGGTCACTTTTTAATTATAGGAAATGACATCTTTAGGACCGGATGACTCTCTCCGTCCCTCGTACATTTGCATCACGCACATCGCCTTGGGCAGAAATTCTCTGGTAAATTCAGTTAACATCTCGATGTTACCTCCCAATTGTTTCCAAGAAGAGATTCCAGATTGTTCATTTTATCAAGTTATTTCTGGGGCAGACCTCATAGTCCTAGCTGACCTCATTAAATTACAATCTTTAAATTACCGAATGGCGCGATTTATCCCACACTCGTTATTCAGTTGGCATTTGATGTTGTTGATATCAGATTCCATGACATGAGGTGAACCACACCAGCCCTCGCTTAAATATACCAAACACTACATGAACAAGAAGAAAGAAGGAGAAAAGGAGCTGAAGAACTTCCATCGAGCAAAAATATGAAGCTACTGTGGATTGGGTTCATTCTTGTCGGCTGTGGACCTGTTCTGGGTTTGAAGCCTCTAGAAAAAGCATGTAAGTCGAATCCGTTTTCAACAAAAGCCCTTTATTCTTGTCTACATGTCTGTATCAAATTCGTAACTTTATTCTTATTGTTTACATAATCTTGTACTATCGTCTTCGTCGCTCGGTACGTAATGTTGGTTTCAAAGAGTCTTATGAACGCAAAGGCATCTATTCGACTCCTGCTTAGCGCCAAACCTCAAATATTTTAATATCAAARTACTGCCCGCTGATATGATGCTGTTAATCAGATTTGCACCTCAAATCTACCAGATTCGATCCTCAATTTTCTTTTAAATTTAAGTTTAGCCTTTTTCACAACACAGACAATATCTCATAGTAAACATTTTTCTTTGGAAGTGTTTTTATTTGTCATACGGTTAATTGTATTATTTAAAATGCTATCAAAAGCTTCCATATGTAATGCAAGATAACAATCGCGAAACCAACACAAAAGGTGTCGTAATTCACAGTATTTTTGGCCATTTAGAAATAGCCTGCGTGCATGCAGTTAGTAGTTAATAGTTCTGCTGCACGCAGGCTATTTAGGGGTGGACCATTAGATAATTGATGGAGAGGTTGCAGGAATTTATGTTGCACGATATTAACTTAGAAGTAATCCCTGTACGCATTCTCATACACGATATTTCTTTTCTGAAAGGAGAAGTTGCGCTTTATATGTTTCGTAGGTGAAGTGCTTGCTCGGTGTTTTTTTGGGATTTACGCAACCCTTCCCTCGATCATATAATGGTCGTCCGTCCCTTAGGAAGATTTTTCGGATAAATGCAATAGGAAGGTCAAACAAGTTAAAACAGTACAATTTTTCAACATTTTTATTTATTCGACGTATGAATAAACATTGGTCAAGAATGATGATAAGTTCCAACTTTGACATGCTGTATATAGTTTTAGTGTCAAACATCTCTTCGTTTTGTCAAGATGTTTTGGTGGTCTTGTTTGTCCCATAGTGATCTTTCATACCGGAAACCTCCTTACCACGTACAGGGCAAGAGTCCATCAAAACTGCATTAACAAAAAGGCGTAAAAACTAGCCTTATTAAAGTAGAAACTGTATAAAGTAATATCATCGAAATCTGGTAGCAATCCAGTTGTAAATTGCAAAACGATCAGCATGATTGCAGGGACCACTACACAACTGAAATTTTCAACTGAAACCGATCTTATCTGTAATATTAGAGTTGAGTACCTATACTTAGAAGTACTTTGGCTTCTGCTGAAAAAGGACTAGTCCGTAGGGCTATCTAGGACTAGAATAATCTCATAATAATAAAGGATTCTTTCGTAAAACGTGCTTTCACCGTTTTATTTTCCACCTTGAAATCTGGTGTTATCTGTAGTAACTGAAGCAGTGAAACTTTTCAACTACAAAAAGAAGATCATTGAAACAAGGCTTACTGTGAAGGACACTGTGTTTATCTGTATTCATTACAAGGTGCCGGCTGGTACAGCAAAGGGATAACAATATTGGTATAACATTTCCTCTTAATTTCGCGAAAATTAGATAAACACATTTTGCGTGATCATTAARATATCACATAAGAATTTCGCCGAATAGAACTAAAATTTTCCGATTTCAAATGTGAAATTGTACAACGAAAAAAATTGCCTCGCGATTTGCGCAACAGATTTTAGTTTTACTTATCAGAGCCAACTCTTGCTATAATAATCATGACAGAATTWAAAAAAAAAAAAACAACAACAAGAATTGGTTCTCTCGCCGTGCACTATATCTCTGCAACCTGAAATGGATCCATCAAAGGGCGGGCCAATCAGCCATTCTTTCTCTCTTTCCGGCATAGCTTTTCGCTAAAAGAAAGGTTGTAGGGGTATTAAATTTCGCGATTTTTTTCACCCGCGAAGGTTGCCAAAATTAATTTAAACAAAAAAACAAAAAAACAAAAAAAAAACAAAAAAAAAACGAAAAACAAAACACGACACTGTATTAATATATACCGGGAAAAAGAAATTGGATGAAATAAAATTGCTACATATTAATTAAGCAAAATAGCTTATATGTCATATTAGCAAAGAGCTAATGTTGTAGGACAGCCATGTTCGTTCACATCTTGCACATCTTTGTAATTGATCGAGATTGCATGTGATCAGTGCTAACCCGCCAGGTCAATACTATATGGTTCAGCCAACGCTGCAAGGTCCATCAAGAGATTATATCACCCATTGATCATGACCCAATCACCGCCTCTTYGTTCTTCAGGAAACCACATCTTTGGCAACTGCCTCCCACTAAAAAAAAATCTTGTATTATCATGGATCTGCTTTAAATGCATTAACTCCTCCTCTCTCGTCCCTAGTTCTTCTCTGCCATATAATTTAACACAGGGATCCCAACAGAGAATAAATGGGGAAGCCTGCTGAGGGTAGGCTACTACAGTAACAAAGACGACAGGTTTAAAAAAATTGGCGTATCCCTTTTCAAAACGTATTCCTCTCCATCGCGCAGCTAAATTTAATGGTTTTTCAGTTCTAGGTAAACTGATGCATTTTTAGATAACACTGACAAACCTCTAGTGTACAAATCTCTTATCCAACCGTACATGCATAACCATGATTGCCAGTAAAGCAAACAGGATAATACATGTATCCATGCTCAACAGTAAATACTAAATAACACTACCAATAATAGTTGTACTATTGTTAACAGGAGCCGCGGAGCATAGTTTTGAAGGGGAAATTGCACCCTCTCTCCCCTGAAAATGTTCAAATTGGGGGAGCGGGGGAGCAAGATATTTATTGCATTTATTAAGTTATGTCAAAGCTTTTGGCAACTCATATAACTCGTTAATCAAAGTCATTTTGATGGGCTAAGCACCCCCTGTTTCCTCCAAGCCCTCCGCCTCCTCGGTCCCTGATCCAATGATAATATTTAATGGTAAATGTTGACAATTATGATGGCAAGAAGATATATGACGTTAAAGAAATATCTGGTATGATATATATACGAAGAACAAAAACAAACTGATGTGATTATAATGATAAGCCCTAAAAATAAAACAGGAAAACAGGGCTATGACAGGAAATGAATCAATTTCCGTGTTGAAAGAAAACTCAGGACCAAAAGGAAGATGAGCCGTTAAGGTCAATGGGTGGGAAAGATGGAGGATGTTTGTGTGGAATTGTGAAGTTTCTGCGTTTGTAACTGTTTATAGGCCCAATGCTCGAAAATGAATACAGGTAGAGGTTTTGCCCCATCACCATATCTATAATACAGCTTGGGCTACCTGTGGTTAGAGGGCAGAACAATAAAATCTTTTTGCTCGCAGGGAAATGAATTTTTTCTCGTGTAAAACGATTGTATTGTTCCTGCCATCTAACATGACTACTGTCACGTGGGGTGCAAAACYTCTATAGACCATTTCACATTGGGCGTAATGTTTTCCGATTTCATAACGTCGAATGACTCGTGGTCCGGAATGGGAATAATTCGCCCAATCTGATTGGGTCTATACACAAACCTCCAATGACAAACCATTTCGATAAAAGCTTTTTACCGTATTAATATTTTTAGTGTCGAAAAAAGGGGAATGTCCCATGATGACATCATCGGATGCTTGCCCAACACTACAGCCTAACAGATGTGCGGTGGACTTTGATTGTAATGGTACTCAAAAATGTTGCTTCGATGGTTGTATTTTACGCTGCAGATCTCCATACCAATACACAAAAAGAGATCCCAATGGTAAGTTGATTTATGAATATAATTGAATTTTCTAGAATATAGAAGATATTGGGATGACCACAGATATGTTTCGTGTGTATATAGGTTTTCGGGTTACTGTGCTGTAAAGTCATAGTTTACTGCATACATATATCCATGTTAACAAATTAGGGCAAAGTTTTGTAGGTCTTCGGCCACTGAACTTACTATACCTTACTAATGGTGCAAATTTGTGCAATTTTTTACAAAGTTTTTCACGAATTTAAGGCACGCACTCTTACAGATAYAATTATGTAGCAATTTTGAAAGCACGGGTAGGATTTCATTTTTACACTGCACTGCACTGCACTGTACTGCACCAACCGCGAGGAGAGTTGTTTGTTGGTTCTCTTCCTTCTGGGACACTAACAATGTAACGCTTTCATAATAAAGTTAATCAAAAAGAATGAAATTTCCAATTTTATCTGTCACCAGTATGCGAAGCGGAGGTGGATCTTGGCTTCCTAATCGACTCTTCAGCAAGTATTGGCTATCAAAACTTTAAAGGCGTCAGAAAGATGGTGGATCGAATCGTCAATGTGTTTACCATTTCTCCAGAGAAAACCCGTGTTGCAGTCATTATGATCGATGATGTCCCTAGCCATGCACTCAAGTTTAACACCTTGAAGGGGAAAGACCTGAACAGCAAAAACGTCCGCCGCATTGTTGACGATCTGCAATTCAGCAAGGGAAAAACAAGGATCGATCTTGCCCTGCGTATGGCGTACAAAGAGATGTTCAGCAAGAAATATGGCGCGCGGTCAAACGCTAGAAAGGTATTGATCTGCATAGAAGCACACATCTATATATAGGCAGGTGTTATGAATTCTGTGAAAATTGACTGGTAAAAAATAAAAACCTGTCCAGCATTGCAATAAAAATATAAAACTCAGGAAAAGTGACACCTCAGTTTAGGAATTTTCTCGATTCTGATTGGCTAACATTTTCTTTCAAATCAGCTGGATAGGCGTTACGATGTGCTACTAATATGTAATATCATGATGTTTTTTTTACTGTTTCAATTAACCATTTGTATTAGAAGGTCACGTGACGTTTACCCCTTAAACCAAGATATTATATCAAAAAGAACCAAGGAAAGTTGACGGCTTCTTTATTAATGTTCATATATCATTTATTATCCGAAACTATTGTTTGTGGGCCCCTTGCAGTACTTTGGAATGCAGCTCAATCTGGGGGACAAAACAATAGGTTCCACTTCTCAGGAAATTGGAATTCTTTTGTTTTGTCCYCCAGATAGAGTCGCTTTTACAGCATATGCAAGGGGTCTATAAGTAATATCGAGGTGTTCTTTACATTTCTGGAGTACACTTTAACACAACTAATTGGCTTAAGGGGGCAGGCTCACGTGACTTCATGGTGCAAATGGCCAAAAATTAATCTTTGTTCCTGTTTTTTCTTTAAAGATTCTTATTGTTTTTACCGATGGAATTCAAACCTGGGCACCTTCAAAGATGGTCAAACTCTCCAAAGCATCCGAACCACTCAAGAGAATTGGTGTTAAGCTTATTCCCGTGGGGGTATGGAGTGAGCAGATCAATGTTGGCTCGTTAATAGATATATCAACAGATAACTACACAGTGTACAATATGGACTTCTTTCCAGAGCTTCTCCAGGCTCTCAAGAAGATGTCGAAGGTTCCTTGTAAAGGTATGTATGTTAATTATAATGGTCCTGAAAGTCTTGCATCTCAGACCAAACTTGGGATAAGGATAATGCTTTTAGTAATGGACTCCTGGCTCACAGACCCAGTATGGGAGATGGCTGCTCCTAGTAATGGGCTACGTATTGATCTGGGTATATGCTGGCTCACACACCCAGTATAGGAGATGGCTGCTCCTAGTAATGGGCTAGCTCCTGATCTGGGTATATGCTGGCTCACAGACCCAGTATGGAAGATGGCTGCTCCTAGCTCCTTATGTGGAAAATTCTTAATTTTATTTATTTATTTTTTATTGCACAGATAAAGCCAGAGGCATCAAAGAATGGAACAATATTCTGAAAAAATCCTTCATAAAAAATAAATCTTAAACAACCAAGAAACGCCTATTGCCCCCAAAAAATTGAGGACTCAATACACAATAATGGTTACCTGCTACAATGCATCATCACTTTTTTACCTAGTCTATCATCTGCAATCCTATACTTGTCTTTATAGCTCATATMATTTTAGGTGGTCATCACGCGGCATTAATTAGAATTAGTGTATTTCCAGTAGAATAATATGTATTTGCATGCATGATTCATCAAAGCTTTCTATTTTTATTGGTTGGGACAACTTAAAAAATTTACAGTCAAAACGGCTCAAGCTTAGCTCCTAGAATCCATTAGTATAGGTAATCGTATGGGGCGGAGTAAATTTAAGGAATAATTTCACCAGTGTTTTCAAATCGCGACTCGGGCTATTTCTAAACTTTGAAAACACAAGTTAATCCTTAATTTTACGAGGAACCACACATTTGCCCGTTTATCATAAACACGGGACAAAATTAAACGAAAATAAACTATCAATGTAGTTATGGTTCTAAATAATTTTATTAGCAGAGTTCAAGCGTTTTTCTTCATTACATATGTGCTCTCATCTATCAAACTTTGGACTGAATAATACTTCAAGGTTTTCCTCTGTACAAAAGAACATCATCGATCGCTGAGTTTAAAACAGTTATTTTGCAGTTTTTACCTTGGATTCCGCTAAATGAAATGTTAAATCTTCAAAAAAAGGTGATTCATCGGAAAGGACAACAATGTTGCAGAAATTGACACAGAATTACGATTCGACGTTTATTTTGACTTTTCGTCCATTGATTGAAGTTAGCATTTCTGTGACACAAAGCATAAATAAAGTAAATTCGAAAGATCCATGGCCAACGAGGTCCGCCTCTTAGGCTCCTTTTTTGATGAAGAATCCTGGATGTTTTTGATGAAAGAATAGAAAATTCTAAACTTTACTAATCTAGGACATACTAAATAAATGTTAATTTAAAGCATGAAATTCCTCACTAGCAATAAATTGTAACATGCAATATTAAATATGAATGTACCTTACTTTGAGCTTGGTTTGAGGTATTGAGGTTTGTTTATTCGTTTCAATCGTTTGTCTAAATGTTTTGTTCTCAAGTACAAGTTTTTTATTYTGTTATACGGTGAAAGACCATGCAGTTAAAGCGCGATTAAGCGGAGCAATTTTCTCTGCAACTTGTGTTGCAGCAGCGTTAACATTTACACAAGTTGCATTGAGCATTGCAGCGTGTAACCTATAGCGCAATTTGAAAAATGTTGCGAGACAAGTTGCAGCAATCGTTGCCAAAAGTAGAATTCGTTTCTACTTTTTGCATTCGTTTCTACTTTTTTTAGACACTCTTGCGATTTGTGTCGCAACGCTGTTGCGAGACAAGTTGCAGAGAAAATTGCTCCGTGTTATCTCGCCTTAAATCCTTCCCAATGCAAAACAATGTCGTTCTTTAAACATTTATTTTACTTTGCCTGCTTAATTACATTTTGGTTGGGCTAAGATGTATATCCTTTGGCTATTGGCCTATAAACCATTCCCTAAGCAATCTATTTCCATTATTGCACAATAACTAATATTGTTTATATTATTTTATTACAGAACTTTTATGACATATCTATATATAATAYAATAATTTTGTTTGTTTAATCTAAGACAATAGAAAATAACCTAAGAGACGGAATCTCTGGTATTCATGCTTGAAACCATCATAGGCACCGTTTGATAGTACTTTAAGAAACACATTTGCCATCGTTTGTTTTTGTGCACGCTGTTTGCACATTATGCGCGTGCACACAAACAAACGACCAAATCAAAATAATTCTAGAAATAATAGCATCAAAGAGTGCTCATGATGGGGCGCGGAGATTCCTTCTCTTAGTTCATATTCTCTTGTCTAAGACTAATGATAGGCATATGATTATTTACAACAAGCCTGTGAATGCTCCGTAGTTCACCACATTTCATCTCGTGACGACACTAAGAACGGCTGCGGGGGAGACTAAAGTCAAACCGGCACAAAACATTCAGACGAGGGGAAAGCCTCAAATTTGAATAAACCTTTGAAACTACCTTACAGCCTCGATTGACTGCTTTATGTTTGAAGATGCATGGAAATGGTGAAAGCAGAATATTTTCAAAGTTCAGATCAAATTTAATGTTGGATACTAGGTTTTGCAGGTACATTCCTTACATTCAACAAAGGTGCTATTCTAAATTTTCTTAAATGTCGTTAGCAATTCACTCGTGCATAGAACTTTAATGCATTATAAAATGTGACAATACCGCAGAAGGACGACTGAATGGCGAATTATATTATGTTATGTCTGGTATTTGATAGACTGAAAACATGATTATCCTTTWTGAATAAGATCTAAAATAAATCGGTTTCTACAATCAGCAAAGATATTGTTTCCTACAATAGGTAGAATGCTACAAGATACTATCTATTATTAATAAATCATATTTTAGTTTTCTCGAGTATAATTGCATGGAAACTCTAGCACAGAATACTAATGTTCAAAACGATATACATTTGGCAGATTATCCATCCATTACAGCCTAAAAGAGGTGCTGTATGTCTTCCCGATTTCACTTACCTGGCCCAAATTTATTCCCGATGAGTTTCGTTGTTTCCTCGCATCTTCATCCCCAGTGTTTCCTGTGAAGCCTTCATTAACATTTATTGCCCGGGAATGCTTCTTTGCATTGCTTGCTCCAGACCCTGATTGAACATCCACTCGGTTACTTGTTYTGCTGCAGGCCTCTACCAAGAGCTTTCGAAAGCGTTCGTTCTGGAATGTATAGACGATTGGATTGACGGTTGAATTCAATGTGGACAATACCATAGAGCTGATATGAATGACATCACCATAGTTGAAGTTAGGATGAGCATAGCTTAGCATGTAAGTAGTAAGGATCGGCACCCAGCAAATAACGTAGATCACGCTGACTGTCAGCATCATTTTCGTCACCTTTTTCCTGTACTTAAGTACAGCCTGCTGCGTAACATTGCTTGAACTGTCGCCACCGTGTCCCCAAAGCCTGTAGATGACTCTTGAGTATAGGGCGGTCATGGAGAAGATGGGAATCACTCCTGCAGCAGCCCACCAAGTGGACGCATAAGCAACTGGAAGCCAAGTATTGGGCCAATACTCGAAGCAGAAGTTCTTGGTTTTCTCGTAATAAATGGTGGCGTAGAGAGGGATGTTGAGGGTTATAGCTCCAATCCAACAACACAATACAATCATACTGAGTTTCCTTACTGTCATCTTTCCTTTGTCGCTGTGAGGGAACATTACAGCGTAATATCGCTCAAAGGCAATGGCGACAAGAGTAAAAACTGAGCATGCGCCACCAGTCCAGGAGATGTTCCCACCGGTAAAAAGTTTGCATATCCATGTTCCACTTGTGCCATCGGGATGGACGAAGAAATTCATGAAGATGAATCTTGGTGCGATGAAGATACCGACCATCAGGTCAGCAACTGCTAGATTGATAAGAAGGAAGTTCATTGGAGTACGGGTGGATTTGTTRGAGAGAAGGACAAGTATTACCATGGAGTTGCCAACAATATCAGCTATGACAATCAGGCTGAACACACCTGTTAAGACAACTTGGGCTGCCGTGGAGTCTGCATACAACGACATTGTTGATGATACTTGGGGTTCTGCAAATTGAATCGAATGGATAGATTGTTAAGCTAGACGTTTACGACTCTTTTCCGCCCGCCATTGAGATCGCAGGCTCAAGCATTCGGCTCAAGAAGAATGKGTCGAGGAGGTATGAGGGAGATTTACTCCAAAAAATATATATGTTAAGTGTGAAAAACTGGTGGAAACCAAAAAATATATCCAAAAAATATATATGTTAAGTGTGAAAAACTGGTGGAAACTCTCCTGCCAAAATTGTATAACAAGAAAATGTTTTACTCCTGAAAATGATGGAATTTTCTAAACAATTTTACTTGTGTATGTGGTCTGAAATGAAATTCGATTTAGTGAATTGCCTAAACAAAAACTTTGAAATGGGATCACTTTCAACCTCTCAGAAACAAATAATTACTTTATTGGAAAAACCAGAAAGAATAATAGATTTATAGATTCTTGGAGACCAATAAGTTTAATAAATGTAGACATTAAAATATGCAGTAGAGTATTAAGTAATAGATTAATAGATATACTACTGTATTTGGTTCACGAAGATCAATCGGCTTTCATCAAGAACAGGAAAATAGATGACCCCTTGCAGACAATTCAAGACATAATGGATCACATGAAAGAAAAAAATAAATCATTGCTATTTTTTGCAGCAGATTTTGAAAAGGCATTTGATTCTATCGAGCATAATTTCATTTTTGCWACTCTCAGACACTTTGGTTTTGGAGACAATTTTGTCAAGTGGATAAAAATTCCTCTCAGTAATAATCTTAGTTACATAATGAACGATGGCCATGTTACAAATTTCTTTACGGTTAAGAGAGGTACCAAACAGGGTGATCCCATCTCACCATATCTATTTAKTTCAATAATCGAAGTTTTGGCAACGATGATAAGGACGAGTTAGGACCTTAAAGGTTTTGAAGTCAAGGATCAAGAAAAAAAAATTGGTACTTTTTGCAGATGATACTACCTTCTTTTTTACGAGATAAAAAATCTTACGAAAAAGTTTTGGAAAATCTAGATATAYTCTATTCCCTCTCATCTTTGAAATTAAATAAGAGTAAATCAGAAGCAGGTTGGCTCGGACGTAAAGCAGATAAAGATCTGGAACAATCTAGTATAAGATACAATGATTTTGACAAAAAAGGGTTTAGGATTCTGGGTATATTCTTTACTTACAAGAACTTTACTATCAAAATAATCTACAACGAATTTTTACAAATTTTAACACAACACTGTCGATTTGGAAATCAAGGAGATTGACATTGCATGGAAAAATTCAAGTTTTAAGCTCTCTTACCCTTCCCAAATTATATTATGTTCGTACAAAAACTTATGTTCGAAATCCCTTTATAGAATAAGTAGAAAACACAATTAAAGATTTTATATGGAATGATAAAAAGCCAAAAATCAACAAAGCACTCTAATAGGCGCCTATCAGGCGGGAGGGCTTAAGCCCTTGTAATAGGCTTCCTGACTTCTAAAGTTTCTTGAAAGCCAGTCGAATAAAATTAACTATTCTAAGCCTGCTATTTAATYCAAAAGATTACCAAACAACCCTATTATCGAATTATTTACACGGTATTGGAGGTTTAAAACATATTCATGAAAATTTCGATGAACTGAAAATTCCTAAYAATTTACTATTATTCTATAGGGACGTGTTACGTAAGTCGGGGCGGATTTTATGAAACTTGATCCCAGTGAAGATATATCTACAATTCTAAATCAACATATTTGAAACAATACTATTAGAATTGATAGCAAATCATTATTCTACAAGGATTTTTCAAATATAAGTATAARTAAAGTGATAGATTTATGCGACTCCAAAGGTGAATTTACATAATGGGAAGTGGTTAAGAGGAAAAAAAGGTTTGGAAGAAAAACGAAATCTAAGATGAGCTGGAATAATACACGCAATACCAAAAGAATGGAAATCAAAACTGAAAAATCAGAGTGCCTCCGATAAAAATAAAAATAACCAAAATGATAATTATATACAAATAAGAAAGAAAAAAGTCAAAATTGAAAAAGTAAAAACGTATTGAAAAACATATTCGCAAATTAAAGGAAAAAAATTTAAATCCCCCTCCTCCCAAACTAATTTAAGCAAACGAATAGAAATAGATAAAGAATTAGACTTGGGAAAGATATACGGTAGGATTTATAACACGACTATAGATACCTATTTGAGTATGTTTCAATACAAAATTTTAAACAATATACTATATCTCAATCGAGATCTTCATCGTTTTCATATTTTGATTTCTTCCTCTTGTTCTTTTTGTTCACTTAATCCGGAAACAACAGACCATTTATTCATTGAGTGCGTTGAATCAAAAAACCTATATTTTCAGATAAGAGACTGGTTAGAAAAATATGACATTCATTTGCCACAATCTAATAAAAAAACAACAACATAATATTAGGGGTGGAAGACATCCCAATAAACTTTATCAGTTTAATCTACAAACCGTAGGTCTGTATAAGGGAAGAGAGAGAATGAAAGTTCCTTCTCTTTCCTTGTGTCAAAACATGTTATTAAGTTACGAAAATATTGAACATAAAGTTGCCAGAGCAAAATATAAGGTAAAATACAATGGCACTGGAGAATTATAAAAAGTACCGATATATACATAAAAAGTTATATCTGTGCTTTCTTACTCATTTAGTGATATATAAGCTTAAAATAGGCATTGCATTTTTTTTTTCTTTGGGTGTTTTAATCGTATTGAGTTGTACTTTATCACTTGCCGTAGTTTGTTGCACTGTATTAATTCTAGTAGTTTGTTGTATTGTATATATATTTAAAACTTTATAATAGGAAATATGTAAAATACTGCATTTTGTAAGTAACGAATAAAGATTCATTAAAAAAAGGTATTATTTCAACACCTACCTTTTTCCGTCAAAAATTCGCTTAAAACTTAAATTTGTCTCAGTTAGCCTCTTATTTATTTTCGTCGAATTTAATGAGTTTCACAGCTTGAGCGATTTCCTCCAAGTGCCACTTTAAACAATTACTGCATGATGTATATATTTTCACGAGCGTCTTCTACTCTGCTTCGCATCAATTATACTGACACCAATCTGTATAAACTCTATACCACTTTTTCGATTAGCGATAAAGTAAGGTACGGCGCGGCCATCTTGCCAGGGGGAGGAGGGGTTAAAACAAAACAAAGATGTCTTATTATATGGGAAAAGGTGATTGATGTACCTCCTTAATTCGTCTTTTGTTGTATTTTCTTGTGGTAATCTGCTAGTATCAATCGACGTCATTACTCTAAGAAAGCTTCAATTGCCACCTGTACGTCCCACAATGCCTTGCGAACCAAGATGGCGGTCGTATCGTCGAATTATTCCATTGTAAGTCCTGAGTCTGTGCCAGCAATTCACTTCTTGCATACTCAACTATTACTTATTCTAGTCTCAATTAATGTTATCAAAAAATGGGGTAATAAAAACACGTGCTGAAAAATCGTTATATCTTTGAAGAACGAAATAATTTATCCAGCGCGTTCGAACTGATAAAATAAATGATTAGTTTTTCTAGCACGCAGCTTAATTAAAATTGTGGAAAGCCGGCTATATTGATCTTGAGGAAGTAATAATTTTCCTACCTCATTTCAGAACATATATACTCAATGTTTATCGGTAGATGACAGGTGTCTTAAAGGGGCACTTGGATGAAAATCAATGAAATTTGAAAATGACTTGAAACTTGTTTAAACTTATTTATATGGCCAAGCAACATGTTTCCATCACAGTCAAAAGTGGCGGGAAAAAATTATCAATTTCATTCAGTAAGCATCTAAATTGTGAGTAAATGACGTCATTTACTCGACCCTATTGGTCTTTTTACTTTTAACCCAACAGCAAGTGGCTCCGAGGCTAAAACTTTCACTAATCTGATTTTTATAATTGTAATTGAGTCATATTATCCTTAAATACTTCAATTATTTGGACTTTCAAAAATTGTGGCGTTTTCATCCAAGTGCCCCTTTAAGGGTATTAACTTTGTGACATTCATTTTTTTAAGTAAAAAAAAAAAATTAAAACAATAAAACGAAAAAAAGAAAAGAAAAGAAAAGAAATATTCAAGGAGTTTCAAATAATGGAAGCTCTAACTCATTGATTGGCAAAGGGTTCCTAACTGGTATGCTAATAACGCATGCTCCACTGAAAATTAATCGTCTCTCGGCACCCAAAGAATTTGGCGGCCAACGATTTTGGCGTCTCTCAGCACCTAGAGACTTTGGTGTCTCTTAGCACCCAGACACTTTGATGTAGCACCTAGAGCCTTTGTTGCCCCTTAGCACCCGGAGACTTTGGTGCCTCTTTATTTGTAACCAAATACTTTGGCGCCTCTTTTTAACCATAGACTTTGGTGCCTCTAAGCACCCGCAGACTTTGGTGCCTCTTAGCACCCAGAGACTTTGGTGCCTCTTAGAACCCAAATACTTTGGTGCCTCTAAGCACCTAGAGACTTTGGTGCCTAATTGCAGGTAGAGACATTGGTGCCTCTTAGCACTTAGAGACTTTGGTACCTCTTTGCACCTAT